TTCCTACTACATTCTCTGGATTCTTCTTTAATTCAAACACCAGAAGCAGAAAAGGGGAGATCCTCAAAGGAAGTAATAGCTTTTAGTGAGACCTCAGTTAATTACAGATACTTTTTAACTACAGAAACTATTATTGATTTGATATTTTATAAAAATTTATAAGTCAAGTAGCAGCTCCTTTGAAGAACTCAAAAAAATTTCCTGTGTCAAATTTAATAAGAAAAAGACATTACTTATTAAAAGCATATGTTAAATAATAAAATCTATGTAGGTGCACTCTAGAGAGTGTTCTCCTGTAATAGTCAGTGTCCCTCTTCTTCAATTCAAGTTTGAACCTTAACCTATCACTCCTCCCTTCTTTATTTAAAAATAATAACTTTTTACTCTCATTCAGCACAATCATAACCTCCTCAAAGATACCTTCCCTGACCCACTCTTATTATTTGTACCTCTCCCTCCTTATACTTGTCCAGTTGTCATTTTACATTTATTTTCGGTCAGTGTGATTAAGGTCTGACTCCCCAACCTGACTATAAACTTTCATAAGAGTAGAGCTCATTTCTGCTTTTGTCCACCATTGTATACTCAACAATATGCTGAGTAAATATTTGGTAAAGAAATGACTCAGCACGCTGAGACAGACCTCGTCCATTGTGGTTATTAAAATACTTTTATTTTTATTAAATGTATAGTTTTTACAAAGAAATTATGAAACCCTTAGTTTAGAAAGATTGCTTTATGCACTGAGAAAAGGCATCACTGCATTAAAATTTTTAGTAAAGTCACTGCCTGTAGGTAATCTACATTAAAGAACTGATGGCCCCCTTATTAGACTTAGGAGGATCTCTCTACTGCACAGTATTTCTTCCAACCTAAAATGTACTCAGCTGTTAGCAGACTCATCTGATACTGATACTGCTGGCAGTGAGCAAAATCATAATCCTAGTGAAACTGGGGATTAACCAATAAATCAGGTAATTCAAGCAGAATTGGCACTGCTTGGAGAATAGTCGAGTCACATCTTACATGGAGTTTAGATTCTAACATAAGAAAATACAACAGAAAGCACTGATGATCAAATTTACATGAAAATGACTGGAGTAAGCATGTACACAATAAGCATGGTTGTGAGTAGCCAGCCCTGTTTAGATATGCTGCTTCTCAGTGAGTTCAATGCCACTAGTGTTTCCTTGAGCACTGGAACAAGTCATTGTTTCTTTAGTTTGGCACCAAATGAAGTAGTTCACTTCCGTTTAGAAGTCATGCTTTGTGAAAAATGTGCATCTCTGAGTACTAGAATCACACATCACAGAAAGACATTCACACCATCAGAGGTATTTGGGCACTAAGACTTGGAAATGCCCAGTTTATATTGTTATCAATCTATCAAAATTAATCAATTTCCCTCTCTCCCCCTCCCTCCCTTTCTATGATTTCATTTACTTTCATTATTTCTGCTATGACTAATACAGACATTTGGGAATCATCAGCCTCTATTTATACCTCAGACTTATCCTTTAAGGTTCAGTAATATAACCAACTGACAATTGAACTTCTTCCTGGGGGTTTCACAAGTACCTCAAATTCAACATCTCAAAAAACCAAAANCCCCCTCCCTCCCTCCCTCCTTCCCTCCCTCCTTCTCTCTCTCTCCTTCAGCATAGGGAAGGGAGATGTATAATGTATATAATCAAATTTGAACAGGATTGTACTAAGGGAAGTGGATTACTTAGGTAATGCTATTAGTGCTTTCAGCCAAATTCTTACTTTCCACATAATTTTATTTTAATTGAACTCTTCTTATAATTTGTAAGTCTAAACCTATTTTTCTACATATCTAAAACCTGGAGAGCCAATTCAGTTTGGGATATTAAAATAGCTATTTGATTTTCTTCTGGTAAAAGATTAGAAGAAGTTGTCTTTATGAACAGCAGAAAGAAATGTAAATATGAATACTTTTTAGACTATGAAACAGATTTAAAGCTGATTTCTTCTCCCTCCACCTCACCTATCTGGCTATTGCTGGCCCTTTGAATGTACTCTGCATGCTTGACAGAAGGCTCCTGCTCGCTGTGTTCCCCTCTCTGTTACTAACAGCAGCGTCGTTCTCCTCCCCCCTGAGGCTTAGACATTAGACCCTCCTTCCCTGCTTGCATGGATCTGCCTGTACTGTGTTCTCTGCCCGGAACGCAGGCTCTCTCTCTCTCTCTCTCCTGCAAACTGTTCTAAGCCTAGAGCAAATTTCCTTGAAGGAAAAGATCATGCTTTACCTGAACCATCTTCCTCCTTACCTGCTGCTCCATTTTTCTTCAGCCCTTTGGTAAAGCTGGGATGGGTTGATAGTTACGGATAGAGATTTGGATAGAGCCCAGATAGTGGATTGAGATGGGTCAGTCATGAGGTGACAGTTCACCTGAAATTCACCTGAAATAAAAGGTAATAGCACTGTCGTTGTAATTGGTCCTCCTTCTTTGGCAGATGACCTCAGAGAAAACAGGAAAGGGCTGAAATGACATGAAAAGAAAACCAACATGACACATGGGGCAAAATCTTAACTGCTAATGTGTCAGCATACTCTTCTTACATAAAGCAGTCCAAAGGGGTGAAGACAATGTTCCAAATAGTATAGAGTAAATGTGATGTTTTTTACTATTGCAAAACAAAATAAGACAGGAGACGTAATTTAAAAATATTTCCAGTTCAGTTAAACGTGTTGCAAATATTCATTAAAAATATTTTTTTAGCATACTGTTTAAATCAGTTGGAATTACTTTTACACTACATTTTTCAGTCTCTTGACTCACCATTTTCCCTCCCACTATAGGGCCTTTGCGTAGACTGTTCCCAGAACACTTTTCACTTCTCTCTTCATCTAGTTAATATCTGCTATAGTCTGAATTTTATCACAGGGATGTAACCCTGTCATCATTGCCCTTTTTATTAGTGCTCTTTTAATATATTTTTAGCATACAGTAAAAGCACAGGTTTCTGAAATTATAAGTCAAGCAAGAAGGATGAAGATATATTACACATAGATAGAATATTCTGAATGTTTTATATTACTAAATTCCAAATAATAAAATCTCAGAGGGTTCCATCATACAGGCTTAACTTCATAGGCAAGAATGCTGTGCCTATCAAATTCAAATCAAAAGTTATGATGTACCCCTCTATGAGCTTCAACTCCCACCCTGACCTCTTCCTCAGACAACCACCAATCTGCTTTCCCTCACTATAGATTGCTTTGCATTTTCTAGAGTATTATATAAATGAAATCCTGGATTTTTTCATTCAGCATAACTATTTTGAGATTCATCCATGTTATGGCAAGTGTCAATAGTTGATTCTTTTTACTGCTGAGTAGAATTCCACTGTATGGATAAAAACAGTTTGTTTATCGCTTCGGCCTGTTCATGACCTTTAGTCTTGTCCCCAGTTTTTTACCTCATAAGTAAAGCTCTGTCTTTCAATCAGTTTATTTAGACAATTGACATTCAAAGTGATTGTTGATAAACAGTTTACCCTTGAACAATACTGGTTTGAACTATAGAAGTCACTTATATACATGTGTGTTTTTCCCCAATAAATATACAGTCAACTCTCCAAATACCTGGCTTTCACAACTGCAGATTCAGCTCACTGTGAATGAAAAAGAGTATTGGGGTTTTGTTTTGGTTTGGTTTGGGGGGGTTGTTTGTTAAGAACAGGGTGCTCTGGCATATTTCAAAGTTGTGCACTTCCCCTCCCCCTGCTAGAAAACCCCAAGGAGACTTTTATTTTATGTTTACTGTGAGAATCTGGTCAAGCTCCTGAAGGGAAATTTCACAATATTGTGGGAACCCCCTATGACTGCTCCTCTGGAGTTTTTAGCTCTCAGAATTGTCCACACAGAGCCTCCCACAGCCCAATTACAGTGAAGGTTTTCTCACCCTGACACTGGTTCCCCTGGCAGTTTCTGCTTGTTAATCTCTGCTCCTCTTAGTGGTGACTCCCTGAATTTGCCTGTGTTTCCAGTCTTGGGGACAACAGTTTGTCCTGTGTCTTCCCCTCATATGAATCCAAGAAGAGTTGTTGATTTTTCAGTCTGTTGAGCTTTTTACTTGTTACTAGGACAGAGTGGTAGCTTCCAAGCTTCTTACATGTGAAACTGGAAACTATCAATTTTGAACAGTTTTATTTTAATTTAAAATATTACAATTAATTTTAAGCTAATGATCCTGTTCTTCACCCTTTTCTTACCTCATCAATCCTGTCCTCCTCCCCTTTAACCCCTGCCCAGCCTTATTCTTCCACTCATCTGTAGATTTTAACTTAAATATTACTTTTTCCAGGAAGCTTTCCCTGACCCTCTAAAGTAGGGGTGGGGAACCTTTTTTCTGCCAAGGGCCATTTGGATATTTATAACATCATTTGCAGACCATACAAAATTACCAACTTAAAAATTAGCCTGCTGTATTTGGTCAAACATGTAATTCACTCACCCCTAATGGGATGGCTGGAACTGCTGCTCTTCGGTGAGGCCTTGGCAGGGGCAGACCCAATGATTTCGTGGGCCATATACAGCTCTTGGGCCGGATGTTCCCCACCCCTGCTCTAAAGTAACTAAGTCCCCAAACTGAATGTACCTTCAGCACTCTGTACTTACCGTGTCATAGCATTCATTAGACTTTGTAGAACTCTTTGTCTCTGATATGCTCTCAGTCTCTGGTTCACTGGTATGGACCCAGTGTCAAGCATGATATTTGATGGCAAGAAGGATCTCTGTTATTTTTGTTGAATGTATAAATAAGAAGAGCGTTCATGAATTTCAGATATATTATGCATTACTCGCTTTTCCTTACATATTAATAACAGTATTGAACAAACCCAAACTCTAAGGGATAAGGTTATCTATGATTTTTGTAAACCATGATTTAAATGTCAGTTAAAGCTAAGGAGTACATTAATTATTATACTTTTGATCTAGCACATTAATATATATATGGGTTGGGTTTTTTCAGGATGCAGAAGAATACACAGATTTGCCAGTAAGGCACAACGAAGATCACATGAACAGTGAACTGGCAAAATGTCTTCCCTTCGAATCAAATCCTCACTCATTTGACAGCCCTCACACCAAAGCACATCTCCTGCTGCAGGCGCATCTCAGCCGAGCCATGCTGCCCTGCCCAGATTACGATACTGATACCAAGACAGTCTTGGACCAAGCTCTCAGAGTGTGTCAGGTATGAAGGTCATTTCTAATACCTGCATTTTCTCCCATCACTTCTTTTTTCTTGTTTTAGAATAAAATATATTTGCATTTCAACAGTTTTATTGTAGCATTTTAAAGAAAAACTTGGTGAATCAAATCAAGAATTTTCAAAGGAAAAGTAAGTATAAATGCAGTAAGATGAAAATTGCAGTCATTCATTCCATCAAAATTTATTGAGGATAAACTAAGTACCAGGCACTTTTCTAGGCACTGAGCATACAGCAGTGAGTAAGTCAGGAGAGTATCTGCTGTCGTGGGTTTTCAGTCAAGGTGAAGAGGACAGACAATTAGCCCGGCTGGACGTCAACCTAGGATCCAGGCGATTGGGGTTCGATTCCCAGTGGGGGCACATGCCCGGGTTGCAGGCTTGATCCCCAGTCGGGGTCGTGCAGGAGGCAGCCGATCAGTGACTCATCATTGATGCTTCTATCTCTCTCTCCCTCTCCCTTCCTCTCTCTGAAATCAATAAAGATTTTTTTTTCAATTAAAATAATAATAAGGTACAATATATAATAAAGGAAATAGATGGAAGGTGCTGATTTTTGCTTTTTTTTTTTATTGTTGACACTATAACAGATGTCTTCCATTTTCCCCCTCTTTGCCCACCTCCGGCCAGCTCCCCTTCCCACACTATTGTCTGTGTCCATGGGTTATGCATATATGTTCTTTGGCTAATTTCTTCACCTTCTTTCATCCAGACCCTCCCACACCCCTTCTCTCTGGCATCCATCAGTGTGTTCCATGTATCTATGCCTCTGGTTCTATTTTATTTGTTAGTTTATTTCACTTAGCATAATAATCTTTATGTCTGTCCATGCTGTTGCAAAGAGAAAGAGTTCCTTCTTTTTTACAGCTTCATAGTATCCCATTTGATAAATACACCACAGCTTTTTTATCCACTCATCTACTGATGGGCACTTGGGCTATTTCCAGATCTTGGCTATTGTAAATTGCGCTGCTATGAACGTAGGGGTGCATAAGTTCTTTCTTATTGGTGTTTTAGGATTCTTAGGGTATATTCCCAGAACTGGGATCACTGATTCAAAAGACAGTTCCATTTTTAATTTTTTGAGGAAACTTAATACTGTTTTCCACAGTGGCTACACCAGTTTTCTGATGTGGTGTTCAGGAACTATCTTACGCATAAGGTGACATTTAAGAAACAATTAAAGGAAGGGGGTAAGCCCCAGGGTTACCTGGGGGAGTGTGTTCCAAGAGCCCCATGTAGGAACTTACTTGGTGTATTCAAGGAAAATTGGAGGCCATTATTAAAAAAAAAAAAAGGAAAGGGGTGGTTAGAAATGAGGTCAGAGAGGGATAGGAGGGGAAATTATAGAAAACATGGGGTCAGGTCATGTAGAGAGTCTGTAAACCATGGTAAGGATTTTGGATTTTACTCTGAATGAGAGGGAGGCTACTAGAGCAAGTGGTTCACTAGTGGTTATGTTGGGTATATCTATGAATAGTTACTATACTAATTAAAACAGAAATTCTCAAATATTTATTACTTCATTTAAAAATACCATAATAATCCCATTATATGTTAATATAAATAACATGATTTACCATGAAAAATAACCTTTCCAAAACAATAAAAATTAGTGAAAAGTATAGTATTGTTTTCTACTTTTGCAAGTATCTTTAATATCTAGCTCAATAGAAGTCAGGTAGATTCATAACCTTTTGCAATGTCTGTTACAATATGTTTTAGTTAAAGTACATGAAGAAAATCTAGCCTTACAGAAATACGTATTTTTAAAGAGGAAGAGCATTTTTATTGCCTTTTCAGTAATTGTGGAAATTCTTCTTTGATACTATATGAAACCTTGACGTGTTATTTTTTAAAGGTTAGTTGCAATGTGGAATCTGAAACTGTGTCATTGATCTTTATAACTTGAATTCTTTAAGGCTAGACAAGAAATGATGGTGGCTGGACCACGTTGGTATGAGTGAGACTGGTAAGAATTGGTTGGATCTGATATAATTTTTTAAAGAGAACAGATTCTGCTAATGGATTGGACAGGATTTTTAGGGAAGCTAAGGAACCAGAAATGATTCTAAAGCTTTTCTCCAGAGCAACTGGAAGGCAGGAGCTGCCATTTACTGGGAGACTGTGAGAGGAGCCGGGTCGAGAAGCGTAGCCAAGTGAGGCTATAAGAGATTTGATTTTCTACATTGTACATTTTTGGACATTTCTGTAATAAAAACAATTTTTAAAGATTTCAAAAGATCTCAGGTGTTTTTAAAAGTAATGAGCCCGTGAAGATTTGTGTAGAACAATGTACATTACAGAATCATTTGCAAAATTAAATACTTGAAAATAACCTCAATATTTTTCAGGTTTTAGAACACTGCAGAGTATTACAATTGCATTTATGAATTCTACATCTGTGTAAAGTATCACCATATGTGAACATGTGCTTAGAGAGAAGATTCAGAATAGTATTCACCAAAAGATTACAGTGGCCATCTCTGTGTAGCAGGATTTGGGGTGATTTTTAACTTCTTCTTTATGCTTCTCTAAAATGTTTGAATGTTTTAAAATTAGATTCTAGCAATTTTATGATGAGAAAAAAATAACTTAGTTTTATTATTTAAACGAATAGGGACGTTTCCTAAAATAGAGTAAGCACAAACTTATCAGGAATTAGAAGGGAAGTAAGGCTATAATAAATACATAAATATTTTTGACACCCTTTTTGTAACCAACACATGGTTTACCTCTCTAGGAAGATGATTTGCCACTCTTTATTAGTCACACTTTATAAATGGGGGTTAAAGTTCGTAACATTTTCGCTGGGGCCCTGGATACTCATTTGGGTTTCCTATAACTGTTCTTCTCCCCACCCCCCACCCCACTAAACACTGACCTGTTAATGAACCCCAGGGTCAGAAAGGGTTGGAGAAAAGTTGCAGGAGGAATTAAATTTTTTTACATGTAGATATACTTATAGATGTACATATGTGTGTCATATATAAAAGTTATTTAAATCAACTTGCTTGTACTTTCTTTTTTACCACTCAGTCAGTAATGATCCAAAGGCTATGTGGTAATAGAAATTAGCAATTTCTAAAGGAGTCTATTTCTAAATTTGCTATAAGGTTAAAGGATTCAGTCAGGTACTTTTAGCCTCTATTGGATATTTTATATATAGTTTCTTGGGATAATATTTACATTTCTTGAATATTTTTTATATAACATTTAAAGAGAATAGCTTTCTCTTAAATTATAAAAGTAATACTTATCATTGTAGCAAATTTGGAAAAATAAAATTAGTCATTTATAGTGATTATATCTTACCCCTCATGAATATGAGCTGCTTTTCTTTTTTTAATTTTTAGTTAAAATTCTTTTTAATTTTTTATTTTGAAATAATTTTAGGCATACAGTATAGAAAGTTTGTAAAGATAGTGCAACAAAATTTCAATATATTCTTTACCCAGCTTTCCCTAATATTAACATCTAGGTTAGCCTCAGTACTAATCTGGTCCTATTTACTAATCTGTGGACCTCACTGAAATTTTTATCAGTTTGAATTTCATTCCACTAATGCTCTTCCTTGGGACTAGGATCTAATCCATTGCATTTAGTTATCATGTCTCCTTGACTTTCATGACTTTGGCATTTTTAAAGAGTACTGGCCAGTTATTTTATAGAGTTATCCTTCCATTGGGTTTGCCTAATGTTTCTTCATAGTTACACTGAAGTTATATATTATTGGCAAGAATACCACAGGCATGATGTTTTGCCCTCTCATTGTTTCATCAGGAAGCATGTGACCTGGATGTCTCATTACTGGCGATGTTTACTTTGTGCACTTGAGATGCTATCTGCCAGGCTTCACTACAAAGTCACTCTTTTTCCTTTTGTAATTAATAGATATCTTTGGGAGATACTTAGAGATTTGAGATTATGCAAATACCCTCTTATCAAACTTTTCTACATTATTTTCAGTCTCCATTGGTGATTTTTGTCTAAAATAATTATTACTATCCTGATTTTCTGTTTCCATCTTTCCTATAATTTACTCTAAGAAAGAACTTTCTCCTTTATTTACTTTATTCAGTTATTTATTTATGTAAGTATTATTCTACTGGGTAAAATCAATTACTAACATTATTTATTTGCTACTTGTATTGTCTCAGAGCCAACTGCTAGGGCCTCTCACTCTGGTTCCTACATCCCTTTCACGTACCCCATCATTTTGTGAACACCACCTTGCATTTTGGCATCTTGTACTTTTCCCCTGTGCCAGCCCTGGAATCAGCCATTTTTCCAAAGAGCCCTGGTTCTTTTTATCCAAGACTGGTTTTAGAGACTAAAAGCTGGGCACTTGTTGACTCCGTCTCTACCTAGGTGTCTTTGCCTCTAGACCCACAGTGGGCAAAACCAGGAAAAGAACTATGTATATGCAGGTTTTAATTTATGACTCCTTTCTTCACATGTGAGAAACCTGCCTTTTATTAATCAAAATATATTTATTTATTTCCTCAATCCTTGCATACTCCTGATGTCTTTTTAGAATTACTAACCCTTACTCCTGCAGAAAAACGAATTTATTAACTGAAGTACAATAATTGTTGTAGTTCTTGTTTGTCTTTAGAGGTTTAGAGGCTCTTCTACTTTGTACATTTACAAAAATACATACTGGCCCTTTTCACTCATTTCTTTTACAAATTCTTATCGCGTTATTTTATAACCTTCTTTAACTTAATAATTTATAACATTAAATATTCTTCTCAAGTATAATGGCTGTACTATATGCCTTCACATGAATGTTACAGTTTATTTAATGAGTTCCCTGTTGTCACACATTGTGTGTGCAATGTTCCTTTATCATAAATTATAAGCATTAGTTAGGACCATCTTAAATGTTGACTCGGCTTTTCAGAAATCATCTAGAAAGAGACTGAATTGTATAGTGATGGCAACCAGCTTCATATCCTATATCTCTTATTTCTGCAATTTTG